CAACCAATACCCATCCACACAGATCATTAAAATTGGGTTGAGATTCCTTAAGAAACAACATAACAGACAGCATAACAGTGTCAAAAACACACTGCAGGCAGACCACCCAAGACCCAAATTAGCAGATATCAGCAGCAAACAGAACAGAAAACAAAATAGACAGCATAACCCGAGACCCAATTTAACAGATATCAGCAGACCCCAGCAGCAGTCCACTCCAGACCAACCCAGAATTATAAATTAACAGATATCACCTATTGCAAAATCTGATCTGATGTAGATTAAACATAATATCATTTACTGAAAGGGGCAAACCTGAGCATGAAGCTTTGAGCCATATTGCAATTCTCACTTTGATCAATTCACAGAGTTCTTCGAAGATGGGATGGACATTGTTGAAAATACGATCATTCCTTAACTTCCATACTGACCAGAGCACCGCAAACGGAATGATTCTCCAGATCTTCTTCTCTAATTTTTTGAACTTTGATCCTGACCACCAAAGAAGCAATTCATCCACTGATTTTGGTATCGCCCATTGAATACCCCACCATCTCATAGTTTTGGACCATACTAACCAAACAAAAGGACAATGTAGGAGTACATGGTTGTCTGTTTCCTCCTCCTCATTACAGAACACACACTGTAACCTAGTATAATTTTCCAGAATCCCCATCCTTTGAAGGTAGTTTGAAGTCTTAATCCTTCTCTTCCAAGCAAGCCAGCCAAAGAATTGGACTTTTGGGGGCGCCACATTCTTCCAGATGAACTCTGTTATCCTGAAAGTAGAACCGAAGGAGGATTCGCACCAATGGTATGCTGATGAGACAGAAAACACTCCTGAAGGGTCCGCCATCCATTTCAGTTTATCCGAGACATTCACCCTTAACTCAGCTGCATTAAGCAACATCCTCTTCAATCTTTCTAATTCCTCCATTTCCCATACAAATAAATTCCTTCGAAACAATGAATACCAATCATGTTGACCAACTCTAGCTCGCACTGTAGACACAGATTCAGATTTGTTCAGAGCCAATAAAAAGAGTCTAGGGAACAAAACCTTCAAGCAAACGGAACCAGCCCAATTATCTAGCCAAAACTTTGCCCTCAAACCATCCCCAAGTTCAATTGTAGTATTCGAATTAAAAAAGCCCAGCACTTCAGGTTTAGAGACTACAATTCCCACAATGTCTTCCCATATTTTAGACATCATTCCACCTCTTACAAGTGCAGGTGACCACTCATCAGTAGAACCATAGTACTTTTTGCAAATCACATCCTTCCACAGGGATTTCTCTTCTGCCCCAAACCTCCACCACCATTTTAATAGTAGACATACATTCATCAGATCAGTTCTTTTCACTCCCAGCCCTCCTTGACTTTTACTAAGGGTAACCTCTCCCCATTTAACCAAATGGATTTTCCTTCTAAGATTCGAGCCTCCCCAAAGAAAAGTTGATTGGATTTTAGCAATCTCCTTTGCTACTCCTGTAGGCATCTTAAATAGAGAAAGATAATATATAGGCAAACTAGACAACACAGCTTTGATAAGTGTTAATCTACCTGCAAAAGAGAGATACCTTCTTTTCCATGAGGCAAGCTTTAATTTAAACTTTTCAATCACAGGCTGCCAAGTCAACTTTCTACTAGGGCTAGCTCCCAAAGGCATTCCCAAGTACTTCAGAGGTAGATTTTGATAAATGCAGTGTAATTTAGAGGCAAACTCATGACATAGAGTTGACGATATACCCACCCCACATACCACACTTTTATGGTAGTTGATTTGCAGGCGCGACATAATTTCAAAGCATCTCAATATTCTCTTAATATTTAAAATCTCCTCCCATTCAGCTTCACAGAACAATATAGTATCATCAGCAAATTGCAAATGCGTGATCCTAAGGTCAGAGGGATTATCATTTTTTGGAATCAAAGCTATAAAAGAGCTGTTAATACCGCGAACCAACTTCCCATTCTGGTGAAATTCAGACATAAATTGGAGTACATCACCCTTAATAATATTCCAACATTTTTGAAACATGTTAAAATTAAATCCATCTGGGCCAGGAGCCTTATTACCCCCACAATTCCTAATTGCTGCCTTCACTTCAGATTCTGAAAAAACTGATTCCAAAAATTTAGAGCTTTGATCTTCTCCAATGGTGTTAAAAGGACCTAGCAGCCCTGGTCTGCTAGACCAAGAATCTGAGAAGTGGTTAATAAAATAATTTTTCACTTCAGCCCTAACATCTTGAGGATTCTCCACCGCAGAACCATTAATCACAATAGAACATAAGGCATTCCTATGCTTCCTACTACAAGCCATAATGTGGAAAAATTTTGTATTTCTATCACCTTTAATTGCCCAATTCAGCCTTGATTTCTGCATCCACACCCACTCCACCATTTTACTTAGTTGCCATGCTTCCCCTTTAGCCTCCCTCCTTCTAGCAGCCTGTGATGATGATAATGACCCTTCTTCAGCCAGTAAGTCCAGAGTATGTAATTCCTCTTCAACTTGTTTTAGCTCGAAATCAACATGACCAAAGACCTCATTATTCCACTACTTTAATGTGGCTTTTAAAGCTTTCAATTTATACAAGCACTTGAATCCCGCCCAACCATCTAACAGTGTTTCTGTCCAACATTTTTGCACTACCTTCATAAAGCCTGGATGAAGAAGCCATGCATTAATGAATTTGAAGGGTCTAGGACCCCAGTCCCTCTCATCCTCCATCAGTAGGATAGGGCTATGATCTGAAAACCTTCTAGGAAGACCCCACAATTTGAAATTAAAATTACACACCCAGTCTGTGTTAAGGAGAAATCTGTCTAATCTACTCCATCTTGCCCCATCCTGAGAATTACTCCAGGTGAAATTTTGCCCGAACATGGGTAAGTCAATTAACTCTAATTGGTCAATCATTGCATTGAATTCTCTCATCCCCCTATCCATTCTAGAGCACCATTTTCTTTCTGAAATTCTCCGGATCTCATTGAAATCCCCCCCCCACACACCAAGGATTTGGGAATACAGATTTCATATTTAACAGGATATCCCACACCTCCTTCCTTTTAATTACATCATTAGGACCATATACATTCACCACCACACACTGAAAGCTATGATAAAGCATACCTGATAGGAGAATGAAGCGTTTATTGCAGCAACAGTCTTTAATTTGAAACACTTCTGGATTCCATACACAAAGTAAACCTCCAGCAGCTCCTGTTGAGTCCACAGCCATAAAGTCCATCGTCTCTCCTGCCCAAATTGACCAAGCTAACTTTTCATTAGTCACAGATTTCTTAGTCTCTTGCAACAACACCATGTCAACTTTATTGTCCAGGAGCACCTTTTTTATCCTCCTCCTTTTAATTGACTTTCCCAATCCCCTCACATTCCAAGATAATAGCTTCATTACAAAATGTCCATAACTCCTTATACCTCCTAGGGATGCTATTCAGTTCACATTGCCCTCCCTCTCCTTCAACTTTGCAATATCTCTCTCTTCCAACTCCATTAATTTGCTTATAATCTCCTCCTCTTTACCTTTGCAGTCCATCCCGAGGACCTTACTAAGCTGCAGGTTTGTTTTAGCTTCGTTAAGTTTGCTTATAATCTCCTCTTCCTGACCATTACCGTCCATCCCAAGAACCTTGCTGAGCTGCGCATTTGTTTCAGCCTCATTGAGTACTCTTCTTCTTGATTCACTTGACATGGAAAGTGAAATTGCTGCTACTGCTGACCTGAAAACCGCCCCTTTCTTCAAGTTCATCGACATTTCTTTCCTATTTTTTCCAAATTGAAGGCTGCCCTTCTCGTTGAAATAGTGACCTGGAACCCCTTTTGCTTTTTCCTTTCTTGAAACTTTTCTTATCTGATTAGTCTTTGATGCTTCTCCCCGTGAGCCAATCTGGTATGGCTGTTTCAACTCTACATTTTGGGCTTGGTATATTAAGTTACTGATAACCTGTTTTGGGTCATAACTTTTGGGCTATTCAGCAACACCGCTAGCAGGGCTCATACCACAATTCTGTTCATGGGCCTTGTTGAGAACCACTTCCAAATTCAACCCAGGTGTGTAACGAATAGATCCACTTAGACTTCTTATGAAGCCTGAAGTACTCACCTCTCCATCAACTTTTTGATTACCCCGCTGTTCATCATACTTCTCGGCATGCGCCGCCCTCATCATCACGCCAGCTCTTGTACCCCCAGAGCTTGATCTTCCCAAGTTGCTGTCAGTTTCCTCGACCAGTGAAACATTTAAATCTTTTTCTCTGTCTTCCAGGTCAGCTCTGTCTTCCTGTGCACTTCTCATTTCTGTAATTGCCATGTTACTCATTTTGTCCAACTCAGCTTCTTGCTGGATATCCACGTCATCATCATCATCCTCACTCCGTTTGTTCCTCTGTTCTGATCTCTGTCCATCCTCTTGCTCATACGAACTGTAGCCATCGCCTTCATCATGCTTCTTATGACATTTGCATATCTTAGTTAACACCACCCTGGTAACAATCTGTTCCTCGCACACTTTCACTGGATATAGAATTCCTTGACAGTCTAAATGCACAATTTTATTGATAGATTCCATATATGTGGTGACGATTCTTACCCTTCCACATTGTAAGTTCTTCATATTAAGAGTATCTTCATCCAACTCAATAACTTCGCCCCATGTTGTTCCTATACTGCTGAAAGTTTTACTGTTCCATAGATTTAATGGCACTCCATAACAGCTCAGCCATACACATCGTTCCTGTGTAATGACCATTCCTTTTTTCCATTCATTGACCGATTCGCACCACTCCTTAATCCAACCACTCATTATGATGAGTTTTTCTTTCATCTCTTGGACTGATTGAAATGAGATTACTAAATCCCTTCCATCTGCAGCTCTGCCTTTGATATTTCCCACCTCCCTCTTGGTTAATTCCTTCCTGAAATCCTCCTCCGAGCATTGCGGTCTCAGACGAGCAATTATACTCTCATACAACTAACCATTACCTTCTTCATAAGCTCTTACGGTTAAGCTTGTAGATACTCTCCTTCTCCCTTCACCTACCACATGGGCATATGATTTCTTTGTATTTTCCCGAGTAGCATTTGCATAACTTGACATTTCTGCCTTTCTTTCCTGTTTGCCATATGGTAGCCTTGGTTTAGCTCCCTGTTCCTTCTCAAAGTCTGCTGGTTTTACCTTCAATGCTTTGTTATCACACCACAGGCCGTTTGCTTTCCGAACTGCCATTTGTGCCGCCACTGGACAGTCGTATCTGACAAATCCAAATCTTGATCGTGTCTGTTTCCTCCTCTTGAATGCTATATAAACATCCTTCACCACCCCAAAGTTATTAAATATGGCGTACAACCCTTTTGGATCCATTGAGTCTGGTATGTCATCCACAAACAGTGTATACATTCCTATTCTTGGCGCTGAGAAACCTTTACCATTTCTTCCATGTCTGCGCAGTACTGGCATCCAACCCCCTGCTCCCGCTCCATACTTCTGTTGCCTTTCCATTTTAAACTTCTTTCAATCCATGTGTAATGTGTAATAATTGTAACTGTACATTTTAAATACGATTCGGACGTTTTGAGAATAAGATTATAAATTAAATGGCGAATTGACGAATTAATAAATTACGATTTGAGTAATTTTAGATGGATTGACAAATTAAAGAATATTATAACCAATTATCAAGCTTTTGCATAAATATAACACTAATTTACATAATATTTTATATATATATATATATATCTACTAATTTGTAATAAATTTCACAAATTAAAAATCTCTTTCACATTCATTTTTATTTTGATATTTCATTATAGATTAAAAAATATATATGTAATAACTATAACGGAACGGAATGGTTTCGAAAGCAAATTATAAATTTTAAAATTTAAACCGCGGTTAACGGAGAGAACAGTGTGAATTGATTCAGATTGATGCGGATCAATGCCGTTTTAGTGGGTTGACCAATTTTTGCACAACCCTACTCAATATAACTAAGCATTGTTTGGGAAGTGGGTTTGGGCTAAAATAGCCACAAAAAATAAAATAGGCTTTTTAGTCTCAATAAGATAAAATATCGCATCCAACTCATAATCATTACATTTTTTCTCTTATAAAAAGTTTAAAAAGTCAAAAGTCCTTCTCAAACTAAACTTTTTAACCACAAGCTAAAATAGCCTAAAAAATTAAAAAAACCACAAAACCAACCCACTTTCCAAACCATGCCTAAATCATGTGTCTAAATTTAAGATAATTTGTAATTATGAATCTAAAATTGTCCTAAATTTTATTTTATCCATTTTGTGTTATCATTTTTTGATTGATTCAGTAATTAGAATAAATTATATAAATAAAAAAATAGCGCTTAATTACAAATAATAGAGTACAAGTGAACGCAAGTAAAACATATCCACTCTTTTTTCTTTTTTAAAAATTGCGCGCACGCACACACATAGAGTAATAAAGAAATTTTCAGCTCAATAAGTTTCTCTATGATCAACTCGAGATAATTTGAGACCTATGAAGCATAAGTATGGATATGAGTACTGGTATTGATACGATGTGAGTACATCGACATAGTAAAATCTTTAAAAGGTAGGGTACGAGTACGAATATAGTTTAATACGTTTGTAAAAAAATATTTATTTTTAATTTGAAATAATATAAAAATTGATTAAATGGTTTAATTTATTAAATCCAACATACAATTGACATTTAATGCCAAAAGTATAAATATAAGATAAAATTAAATATTGTTATATTAAATAACTTATAAGCCATTACTTAATTTTAAAACCATGCTTATCTTTGTAGCAGAAGAAAAATATTATTTTCTACTGAGGTACGACACGACACGACACGACACGACACGACTCGACTTAGATATGTATTAGTTATGTCTAGGTAGGCCAAAAATTAAGAAATAAAAATTTGAGTACATATTTTGTGTACCCAGTACGTATGCAGAAAATATCATACGTCGGTAAGTATCCGGTACGGGTACAACATGTTTGTCGAATTATCCATACTTCATAGTCTCAAAATAATTCAAAATGAGAATTTTTATTTTTTATTTTTTATTTTTTTTTGCAAAGTATATATTATTTAAAATTTAATTTTTTCATTATTGAGATAAAAAATTATTTATTAAATATTTGAATTTAATTTTTTTATATTTAGGGGGCAAATTGATTTTTAAGGTATAATTTGGGAGGTAAAATAAAATTCTAAATGAACTTTGTGTCACGTCAGCACATTCTATCCAATTATAGATGAAATGTGACGGTAGGGATTAATTGATCAATTTGTTGAAAGTTCACATACCAAATTAAAATAAATCAAAATATGGAGGTCAAATTGACAACCCATGATAATTTGAAGGGCAAAATAGTATTTCCTATTTTGCTTTCAATTAGTAAGAGAGTAATTATAAAAATAACAAATATTATATAAAACTTACTATTGATGAATGAGACCCCCTCCAATCACCACCTCCACCACCCCTCCCCCCCCCCACAGACACGTGGCGGGTGGTGATTGGAGGAGAAGGAAAAAAGAAAGAAAAAGTAACCAATCAGGTGAAGAGGGAGTCAAGAGGATGGGAAAAAAAAAGAGTCCAAGTCATTATTGATATTGTAATTGCATTTGATGGCTCATTGGTTCCTAAGAACAAAAATGGCAGCTCCAGTGCACTAGTTTTTCACCACAATAGGAATTTGTAGATGGATAAATGTACGTGTTTTCCGCCCCTATTGCGTGCATGGAAGCAATTTTTGTCATTTAAATCCGTGATATTTAGGGGAATGGTTTCTTACCGTACTCTTATCTTCTATATTTTTTTTATATTTCATTTTTGACTTTATTTTAGATCTATATTAATAATTTAAATCGTTCATCTCATAATTTCAACAATTTAAATGAATTATGTAAAAAATTAGTTTCATCAGATATCACTAAATATATGAATAAATTGCGTATTGTTTTTTAAAATGGATAGTAATTATGAGTTTAAATTTAAACTTTTCATTTTATAAAACAGAAAGTGATTTGTTTATGTATTTATCGATATTCGATAAAGCTGATTTTTTGCTTGTGCTTTTACATGGAGAAAAAAAAGTTATTTGGTTTGGTCATCAAATGCAACAATTGCGAAATTGGCCATGAACTCCACAGTTGCAGTGCTGTTAGATACTGGAAATCTTGCTCTCAGACATGGTGAGACGGGCACTGTATTATGGCAGAGTTTTGATTATCCAACTGATACGCTCATTCCTGGCATGAAACTTAGCTTGAATAGGAAAACTGGCCAGCAAAGCCTTCTGTACTCGTGGGCCAACAATGCAAATCCTCGACCAGGAATGTTCTCCAGAGGTATAGATCCTGAAGGTGTCCACAGATTTTCATTTGGAAGCAACATCGCCCCTTTTGGAAAAGTACTGTATACGACTATAGTTTGGTTTATATAGATCACATACATCAAGGGTTTGCCTCGTTTTTAACTTTCATCAAAGAAAGTGATGAAATTTATCTCACTTGCTGTGTATCAGAAAACTTGCTTAAAGTAAGAGTCACTTTAACTCCTACTGGGCAAGCTCAGCTGCTGTTTTGGGCACAAAGTAGCAATTCATGGGTAGTTGATTTTTATGGGTATTGTGGTCCATTTAGTAGCTGTGAGCAAAATGGATGGATTGCATCCATTTTGCAGTTGTTTGGAGGGTTTTGAGCCCAGAGATCAGAAAGAATGGAATCTTGGAAATTAGACAGGAGGCTGTGCCAGGAAGATGGAATTGACATGTGATAAGGGAGATTGGTTTTTTAAGTTTGAAAGAACTAGATTGCCTGATTATTCAGTGTCTCTGGGAAATGTCCTGACAACTGCTCTTGCACAGCTTACACTTATGCTAGTCTAACTATAGAAACCACTGTGCACTGTATGAATTGGTTTGGGGCTTTGGTGGATCTAAATCATAATGCCTTCATTGGTAAAGATCTTTATGATCGCCTTCATAGCTCTGACCAAGGTATGTATGATATCTTGCTTGATTTCTGTTCAAGGCACTGTTTTTCTAAATTTTAGCCCAAGTCATGTAGTTTGTGATGAGCTAATTTTCTGTGTTTTGTTATTCTTGTGTAGTTAGTAATGCTAAGACTGGTAACTTGACCCCTAAAAGAAGAATTTTTATTGCAATTGCAGCAGCTGCTATCTCTACAGGATTGCTATTTATTAGTATCATCGGCTATGTCTTAACAGGTTGAGAAATCCAGGTACAATCTCTCCCTCTCTCTCTTGAGTGTTGTACATGTTTAGTCCTACACTCTTGGAAACCCAAATAGAAGTTACCACTACACTTCTAGTTTCCCATGCATGATTTTGTCCACTGATTACTCCAAATACAGAGAGAATAGAACCAAGCGTGAAAAACCTTGACACAAAACTCTAGTGCATCTGTTGTTGGGCCAAATGATGGAGAATTGTTATCATTCAGTTTACAAAGTATATTAGCTGCCACAGACAACTTTTCTGAAGCAAAAAAGCTAGGAGAGGGTGGGTTTGGACCTGTTTATAAGGCAACTATTCCAAAACTGTGATATTTTTTCATTTATTTTTTACTCATTTCAGTGTATCTAAGACTCAAATGACACATTTCATGGGAAGTTGGAAAAGGAAAATTCGTTCTTTCATCCTTCTTTTTTTATTTTTGTTTTTTGTTTCTGTCCAGGGGAATTTTCCTGAACTACAATTAGCAGCTATAAAAAGACTCTCAAAAAAATCATTGCAAGGAATTGAAGAGCTCATGAATGAGCTGAAACTTACTGCCAAACTCCAACATAAAAATCTTGTCAGACTATTGGGTTGTTGTATGCCTTAAGCTGAATGAGCTGAAACTTCCTATTTTGTACGCCTTAAGATCTTTTTCAATTTACTTCAGATAAGACATATTTTTTTTGAAGCTTCAATTTTCATTTTTCAATCACTGATTGTGATAACTTTTCATTAGATCCTTCTAAGCAAGACAATGTGAATTGGAGTAATTGCTTCCAGATTATAGAAGGGATTGGTCAGGGTCTTATTTACCTTCGTAAGTATTCTAGACTGAAAGTCAGTCACAGGGATTCAAAAGCAAGCAATATTCTGTTCAATGAAGCTTTGAATCCCAAAATTTTGGACTTTGGAACTGCAAGGAGTTTCAGAATAAATCAAACTGATGCAAATGCTAGGCCGGTGGTGGGCACATAGTAAGTATAGCAGATATTTCCATTCATCTGAACTTTAAATAAGATAAGTTTATTTTATACTACTGCAGAAAATATAATGCTACTGCTGCTACTGTCAGCATGGCTGTTAACATTGTCATTGGTGATGCAATGGTTACATGTCACCAGAATATGCATTGTCTGGGCAATTTTATGAGAAATCAGATGTATTCAGTTTTGGAGTGTTATTGTTAGAGATTGTGAGTGGTAAGAGAAGCACTAATTCTCATCAAACCTGAACATTCTCTAACCCTTATAGGATGGGTAAGTATGCTATGTCTCTTTTTTTCATCCACTTATGTTGGTTATTTGTTTTTTGGATATATAAGATAAGTATTAACTATGAAATTTTATTTTGGATGGCTTTAATTTGTTCAAGGCATGGAAGAATTGGAAAGAAGGTAGTTGTTTGAAGTTAATTGATCCATCAATAAGGGATATATGCAATCTTCAGGAGGCATTGAAACGCATTGCTGTAGGGCTATTGTGTGTTCAAGAATTTCTGAGTGATTGACCAACAATTTATGCAGCAATTCTCATGTTGAGAAATGAAAATGCTTCAGTTCCATCACCCAAAGCACCTGCCTTTTCTACTTATACGAATTCCAACACTGCCTACTATTCTTCTCAAACATCTAATTGCTATTTCAACAATGAAGTGACAATTACCACGCTAGAGGCTCAATAAGAAGCTCTCAATTTTCAACTACACAGAAAGATTTCCATAAAGATGAACTGCATACAGAACTGATGTCTCCGGTAGAGTAGGTTATGGTAGTAGTATTAGCAAGTGCACAAGAAGCATACATATGATGACATTGTCACTTCCATGTATACAATTTATACTAGTAAAAATTAATAGAAGTTCTTCTCATTAATGTAATTATCAATATTGTATAAATACTATGCTAGTATCAGAATGAAGAACAAGTTTATTTTTTCTTGCTTATTGGACAAAGCTGAGAGTGATCTTGGAGACAATCATATACCTTTGGCTCAATAACTTAGATTTGATTATACAACTAACATCATTAGTCTTGATTTAAAGATGATTGAAAAACATCATTGAGTAAACCATGAGAGGGTTAGATCAAGTAGAATTTATCCATTTCCTCACGCCATTATTTTCAGGGTAATTTGCTTGAAATTAAAGAAGCTAAGCCATAAAAAGGCTATCTAAAAAGGCAATATTACAAGAACTAGAGGAGTACATGAATGAGTTGAAACTTATTGCCAAACTCCAACACACAAATTAATCTTGTTAGGCTTTTTGGGATATTGACATATACCGATCTATTGAATAGATGCCTATTCTGTACATTTTAAATATGTCTTTCCTAACCTCTCTCACATTTTTAGTTCAGATTTTCTCCAAGATGCTTAATATCGGAAAAATATTGACATCTCAATTACACTCATTGGAGCCCTATACCAATGTCAATGTGGGACAAGCCCACTTTTTTCTCAAAGAAAAATCTTGTTTTGAGGTGGCACTTGCATTGTGCCTTTTTGCTCCAGGTTCTAACTTATTGACTTTTGCATTTTCCATTATATAAAACTTAGTAGGAAAAGAAATCTCATCAGTGGCATGCGTTTACCTCCTTCACTAATTATCTTTACTACTTTCTTAGTGCTAATTCCTTCTTATAGTTGCTGTCACTTTCACAATGAAGCATTAATTTTCTAGCCTTTTTTTTCCCCCCTTTTATTATTCTTCCTATCTAACACAATAATGGTATCATATAAGCCACCAGCCATATCTTATATCTATCTAAATATAAGTGTCCTTGTCATAACTATTAGCAAGCTTGATCTTCTTTACATTTTGGTTAATATTTTCTCCAAAATGCATAATTGTCAATGTGGGAGCCCTCACAAGGTTTGGGCTTAAAAGGCTGTGTTTCGATTTTGACTTATTGCTCTTAGCTCTACTTTGCCAAATTTTCACCTTTCCCTTGCATGTAACTTAGTTGGGGGAGAAAAAAACAACTCGTCTGCTTGCATTTGCCTCACACCCTTAGATGAGTAACACAATCTCTCACCTGGAAACAGAACTGGATAGAGTGAACAAGTGCACAATAACAAACACAAATTATAAGACTTAAACTAAGCAAACATAAATAACCTGCTGAAGTATTGCATTCAATCATTTATTATCCCACAAAGCTTAAGATGCTAGGAAATAAGTCTAACAAATATATGCCAAGTTATCTAACAGAAACTGTCTCTCCCTTTGAAGCATAGCCAACATAAGTCTGAATAATCGTACACAAGCACATGCAATACGGCTCTGCTAATACAAGAAGGTCTTGATACTTTTGAGGAAAATTAAGCAAATGCAGAGCATCGAGTGCTGTTTTGATATTTTCATCATTTCGGGAGTTTTTTTCTCTGATGGCTTTCTTGTAATCACGTTTATATATTTTTTTCGGTAGAAATTGTCTTGCTTTCGTGCTTGCTTATACATGTGTGTGAAAATAAAATACTACGAACACTGACAGGGAATGCCAAACTCTACAAAGCACACTAAATAAAGGCAATAATCAACTCTGCTATACTTATTATTTAAGTACATAACAATAGCAGACCAAGTCTCCACTTGCACATTTTTAACAACAAAAAAAACAGTGAAGAAAAATTATCACTCAGAAGATACACCACATATTGTGCCTAGAAGTGCAACCATTCATGATTAGATCTACGAGAAAAGGTCAACCCCTATACTTAAACTAAAGCCTGATCTACCCAATCCATGTGAACCTAAACATTGTAAAATCCAACAAAAAATCAACTTTGCTATCAACTCTCTTATAGAACTACTTGAATGTCTACCGTTAGTTTCTTCTAGTGAACCATCAAATGGCTTGTTGTTTTCTACTCAATATTATGATATTGTCCTCTTTCATTTTGTCTGTTCTTGCTACAGAGTGAGAGCAGGCGAATCAATCAGCATTAACCAAACCTTAACTTTAGCTGGGGGTAATTTTGCATTAGGCTTCTTCAATCCAGGCAATTCTACGAACAGATACCTTGGCATATGGTACAAAACAATCTCCGAACAAACAATGATATGGGTAGCTAATAGAGAAAACCCACTTGCTAAGAATTCCCATGGTGTTTTTGGGCTTGGTGATGATGGGAATCTTGTGCTTTTTGATGGAAGAAGAAGAGTTGTTTGGTCGTCAAATGCAACAACTTCCAATTTGGCCATGAACTCCACAGTTGCAGTGCTGTTAGATACTGGAAATCTTGTTCTGAGACTTGGTGAGGGCACTGGGCTATGGCAGAGTTTTGATCATCCAACTGATACATTCATGCCTGGCATGAGACTTTGGTTGGATAGGAAAACTGGCTGGCAAAGCCTTCTATACTTGTGGACAAACAATGCAGATCCTCGGCCAGGAATGTTCTCCGAAGGTATAGATCCAGAAGGGCGTCCAGGAATTTTCATTTGGAAGCAACATGATCCATATTGGAGAAGCAGTGTGTATGACTATAGTTTGTATTATGTAGGATATAAATCTCAAGAGTTTGCCTCCTACTTCAGTTTAATTGCAGAAGGTGATGAAATTTATCTTTCAGTGCCTCAGAAAACTTGATTAATAGAAGAGCCATGTTAACTCCTAGAGGGCAAGCTGAGCTGCTGTTATGGGAGCAAAGTAACAATTCATGGGTAGTTCTATGGCAGGTTCCATTAGTTAAATGTGATTTTTATGGGTATTGTGGTCCATTTAGTAGCTGTGATGAAAATGGTTTGCATAAATTTTGCCGTTGTTTGGAGCGTTTTGAGCCCAAAGATCAGAAAGAATGGAAGCTTGGAAATTGGACAGGAGGCTGTACCAGGAGAATGGCACTGACATGTGATATAGGAGATCAGTTTTCTCAGTTAGAAAGGATGAAATTGCCTGATTATTCAATCTCTGTGGGAAATATGACTACTGTTAGTCAATGTGAATTAGAATGTACTAAGAACTGCACTTGCATGGCTTATGCTTATACTAATGTGAGCAGTAAGCTGTATGCATTGGTTTGGGGATCTCATGGACCTAAAGGGTGATGACATCAATGGCAAAGATCTTTATGTCCGCATTCATGACTCTGACCAAGGTATGTATGATATCTTGCCCAATTTCTATTCATACATCTATGATTGATTAATATTAATTGAGATTAATTTGATGTGCAGTTGGTAATGGTAAGTTGACACATAAAAGCAGTAAGTGTCATTGCAATTGCAGCAGCTGCCATCTCTACTGGATTGCTCCTTATTTGCAGCTTTGGCTATGCCTTGAGGAGAAGGATGAGAAGCCGAGGTATATTACATGCTTTTGCTAACAGTACACTTTTAGTTTCTCATGCATGGTTTTGCTTCACTGATTACTCTGAATTCAAAGAGGGTAGATCGAAGTGCACATGAGCTTGATGCCAACTCTAATGCATCAGTTGATGATTCAAATAATGGAGAAATGTTGTCGTTCAGTTTGAGAAGTATGTTAGCTGCTACTGACAACTTTTCTGAAGCAAACAAACTTGGAGAGGGTGAGTATGGCCCTGTTTATAAGGTAACACATTTCCATAATTGTGATATATATTCAAGCACTGGGAGTTGTGAAAAATTCATACATTTCATCCTTTTTCTTTTCTTTTTCAAATTCAGGGATATTTGCCTGAAGTGCAAGAAGTAGCCATAAACAAGCAATCAAAAACATCATTACAAGGAACAGGAGAGTTTATGAATGAGTTGAAATTAATTACCAAACTCCAACATAAAAAGGTTGTCAGGCTTTTGGGTTGCTGTGTTGAACAAGAGAAAAAAATACTGATCTACGAGTATATGTGCAATGGAAGCCTAGACAAATTGCTATTTTGTACACAAATTTACCTCTTTTCTGAAACTTCTGATAAACAATTTCTGTTAGTTTTATAGTCTCTGATTTTCAATTTCCCATCACTGATTTAGTATTGGTTTCCATTAGATCCTTCTAAGCAAGCCAATCTGGACTGGACTAAATGCTTCCAGATCATAGAAGGGATTACTCAGGTCTAATCTACCTACACAAGTATTCTAGATTGAAAGTCATTCACCGGGATATAAAAGCAAGCAATATTCTGTTGGATGAAGCAATGAATCCCAAAATTTCAGACTTTGGAACTGCAAGGAGTTTTGGAATAAATCAAATTGAAGCAAATACCAGGTGGGTGGTGGGCACACAGTAAGTATAGCAGATATTCCCATTTGTGTGAATTTTGAATGAGATAACCTTATTTGTACTGATGCTACCACTACTATTTCATCAACTTGGTTGATAACATTGTCATTTGTGATGCATCGCCTACATGTCACCAGAGTATGCGTTGTACGGTAAATTTTCTAAAAATTCAGATGTATTTAGCATTGGACTGTTAATGTTAGAGATCGTGAGTGGCAAGAGAAACACTAGTTTTCATCTCACCAAACTCTCGCTAACCCTTTTAGGATGGGTAAGTATCCTTTGTCTCTTTGGTTATCCTCTTAGGTTGGTTGTTGGTTAGTTGGATATATAAGATAATTAATTAGTTTTGAAATTTTAATTTTTGATGGGTTTGACTCTTTCCTGTGTAAAGGCATGGGAGAATTGGAGTTCATTGATCCGTCAATAAAGGATACATGCGACTTTAAGGAGGCATTGTAGACTATTGCTGTGGGGCTTTTGTGTGTTCCAAGATTTTCCGGGTTATCAACCAACAATGTATGATGCAGTTCTCATGTTGAGCAATGAAAATGCCTCGATTCCATCACCCAAAGAACCAGCCTTTTCAAGTTGTAGGAGTTCTAACACTGTCAGCTATCCTTCTCAAACATCGAGTAGCTATTCCAACAATGAGGTGACAATTAGCATGCTAGAGGCTCGATAGAAGCTCTCAATTTTTCTATTTTCATTTGAAGTATTTATGTTATGGTAGTAGTATTAACAGGTGCAGAAGCATACAGATGATGAAATTGTTGCCTACTCAGTCTTAAGTTTTATTGAATAAATCAGATTCCATCAAACTCAAGTGCCTTTTTAAAATTTTCCCATTCAAGTCTTCTTAGGTTCCAAGTGCCAATCTAAAATTTTCACACTGAATATTCTTAGGTTTTCCTGCATCTTTCCTTTCAGTTACTGTGCATGATTAAGGGTAGCTGTCATAAGTCAAACATGTGTTTTGAATAATTATTGAAGCTGTCCATGCTCAACCCGCTTGAGGCCTATTCCAACTAATCTTCTTCAACCAATAATTGGATGAGGTTTGTCATCATAACAATTTGATTAGTGGTCGATCTGCTAGCATAATCTTTTTTTTTGTTTTGTTTTGGCCTTTAATAGGCATAGGATGAGACTGCATCAAAAATTCTTTTTAAATCTATGTTGAATCTGTGAAGGGCTTACTTTAGATGACTGAAAATTTTATTGTCCATCTTCTTTGACAGTTGAAATTGAGAATCTGAGATAGATCTTGGATGACTTCTCACAATCATAGATTATAATAAATTTCAAAAAGCTTGGAATTAGCAAGTTGTTTCGCATGTTGACTTGTTTTGATCTGAAGTCATCTATCTAGGATTAATAATCCAAGTTGGTTCTGAAAATTTTACTAATTCAATCTATCTGTTTTTTTGGAAAAACACTAGTTTAATTTTAATTGACTATAAAAACCAATAACTTACTAGGAAGCCACTCGCAAGCTATAGAAATCAGTTGTATTCAGTAGTTCGACCCATTCAAAGATGGAAAACATTTTATTATCATTCTGTAGACTTCGGCATTAGATCATAATTGATAAGTCTTTTTTAAACCAGAAACAATTCACAAAACATATTGGTAAACTCAAAATGTGACATGTTCTGTTTTTACATTAGTACTTTTTCAATTCTTTCAGAACAATCGCTCTAATGTCATAATAAAATGATATCAATTTATTTATTTATTTAAAATTCAAAATGGCTCATCAACAATAACAATTCCACAAGCTTATGGTATGATAATTGCTTTACTGATTCTCTATCAATTGGATTTGCATTGAAATCTTTGGAAGACTCCAATTTTTGTTATTACTTGTTGCCTAATGGTGAATGGCATTTGTCTTATTTACCAAATTGTTCTGCACTCTATGACTGAATCGCAAATTTATATCTATTTATTATCTAACCAGAATGGTAAAAGTAATTTTGAAGGTAGATTCTTATGTCTTGCTTCAATCTTGTTATAAGCAAAATGGATGCAGAAAATTTGGATCTTAATATGAGTTTAATATATGAGTAGGATTACAAATTCACCCTTATCAACTCAGAAATTATTTAAAATTTTCATTGTGTTTTAGATTTATTTTACACATAGACTTTACAATACATAAATTCAATCTCAACCACACATTTCCATTTAAGGTAAACTAGTGTTTCACCCGTGCTATGCACGAGTTGTGTTTATAATTATTTGTATATATGTGAATTGCGAATTTAATTTTTTTTTTTCACACAAAAAAGGAATATAACAAATGCAACATTTCTTTAATCAATTATTTTATGTTTACTTTTATTCAAAATTTAAAAATAATGTACAGGCAAAATTTATAACTAAATTAAGAAAAAAATTTATTACTAACGATATTTTTTTACTTCTATATAAATACTTAAAAAAATAAATCTAAAAAAGGTAGTCAATATAAATATTATGCATTAAGTAAAAAAATGTGGTTAGCATAACAATTATACTTACATAAATTTACAATAGTTTTTGTAAAACCCAAGTTGTGTGTAGGATTATTTTATTGGATAGATTAGTAATTAAATTAATTTATATGAATCATTTATTAATATCAAAGAATTAGTTATGAGATGACATTATATTTTCTATTACTTGGATGGGTAATTTTGTAACTTTGAGAAATTAGGTTAATAAGCCCACCTGTTGTGGCTTTAAGTCTTGGAAAACAAACAAAACAGAGGCTGGGAATTGCTCCATAGGCGGCTAGGGTTTGAGAAGGTAAAAGAAAAAAGAAAAGAAAAAGAGATGAGAGGTTCAAGTGAGGCTGCAATAGGGATTGGAGGCAGCACGTTGGTGATTTTGGGACACCCATTGGTTAAGATAAAATCTGTCTTTACTGTTAATTATTAAGTTTATGTTGAGGAATTTAACAAGCAATGCATTAAGGGGATTTGGAAGATCTATAGGTGCATACTTAGGTTTTGAGAATTGGGTGCAATGTGTAAGTGTAACTTTGGGTGGGTAATAGAAACAATGGAGTTTGTATCATGGGTAAGGGTGTGTTTGGCTATAAAGTTGGGTTGAACGGTTTGATCACTTGGACATTAAAGCAATACATTAATCTATTATGGTGGGGTTTTTGTGGGTGTATGTAACACGTAAAAATATTAATTTATTTGAGGTTTTGTTTATTAGGTTTGGGTGATTAAGGGTAGCTGTCATAAGTCAAACATGTGTTTTGAATAATTATTGAAGCTGTCCATGCTCAACCCGCTTGAGGCCTATTCCAACTAATCTTCTTCAACCAATAATTGGACGAGGTTTGTCATCATAACAATTTGATTAGTGGTCGATCTGCTAGCATAATCGTTTTTTCTTTTTTTGGCCTTTAATAGGCATAGGATGAGACTGCATTAAAAATTCTTTTTAAATCTATGTTGAATCTGTGAAGGGCTTACTTTAGATGACTGAAAATTTTATTGTCCATCTTCTTTGACAGTTGAAATTGAGAATCTGAGATAGATCTTGGATGACGTCTCACAATCATTATATTAGCTGCTACTGACAACTTTTCTGAAGCAAACAAACTTGGAGAGGGTGGGTATGGCCCTGTTTGTAAGGTAACACATTTCCATAATTGTAATATATATTCAAGTACTGGGAGTTGTGAAACATTCATATATTTCATCCTTTTTTTCTTTTTTAAATTCAGGGGTATTTGCCTGAAGTGCAAGAAGTAGCCATAAAAAAGCAATCAAAAACATCATTACAAGGAACAGGAGAGTTTATGAATGAGTTGAAATTAATTACCAAACTCCAACATAAAAAACTTGTCTGGCTTTTGGGTTGCTGTGTTGAACAAGAGGAAAAGATACTGATCTACGAGTATATGTGCAATGGAAGCCTAGACAACTTGCTATTTTGTACACACGTTTACCTCTTTTCTGAAACTTCTGATAGACAATTTCTATAAGTTTTATAGTCTCTGATTTTTAATTTCCCACCACTGATTTAGTATTGGTTTTCCATTAGATCCTTCTAAGCAAGCCAATCTGGACTGGACTAAACGCTTCCAGATCATAGAAGGGATTGCTAAAGGTCTAATCTGCCTGCACAATTATTCTAGATTGAAAGTCATTCACAGGAATTTAAAAGCAAACAATATTATGTTGGATGAAGCAATGAATCCCAAAATTTCGGACTTTGGAACTGCAAGGAGTTTTGGAATAAATCAAATTGAAGCAAATACCAGGTGGGTCGTGGGCACCTAGTAAGAATAGCAGATATTCCCATTTGTATGAATTTTGAATGAGATAACCTTATTTGTACTGATGCTACCACTACTATTTCATCAACTTGGTTGATAACATTGTCATTTGTGATGCATCGGCTACATGTCACCAGAATATGCGTTGTACAGTAAATTTTCTAAAAAATCAGATGCATTTAGCATTGGAGTGTTAATTTTAGAGATCGTGAGTGGCAAGAGAAACACTAGTTTTCATCTCACCAAACTCTTGCTAACCTTTTTAGGATGGGTAAGTATCC